GGCTGCTGTAAGAGTTGCGGCAGTTTTGGCAAAAAGTGCTGCTGGACAAACTGTTGGTCATCAACAACTTCCTCATCAGGCTAGATTTTTTGGACACAATCCAAATCTCAAATGTACTAAAAGTTTACCATTATCATAAACCAATGAAATTAAATTCTTTTTTATATTTAGTACCACCCGACAAGTGTTTGCTTGGTTGTATATTTTTGATTGTTGAATATGACCGATGTCCAGATACTATAAAAGAAGTACCTACCTGGAAACAAATTATCCTGGACCACGGTGGTGAGATTGAACCATCTTACACCCTACGCCTTACACATATTCTCTGCCAAACTCAAAAACATCCTCTTGTTCAACAGGTAGAATTATAAGTTAAAAGTTAAAACTATTATTTTTTCTTAGCAATTGTAACATTGTTAAATATATTATTAGGGTTTACGCGATGGAAAAAGATGTATTACAGCCTACTGGCTTAGTGATATAATAACCAAACAACAACTTATGCCTCCTTGGTATGCCCTTCATTTTCCTACTCCATATAGTGAGGAAAGACCTTGCCGACAGATGTTGATATCACTGACAAATTTTGAGAGTGATGAACGCAATCGTGTTAAATTTATGATTGAGTTGACTGGTGCTCGTGTTACGTCTTACTTTTCTGCTGACAACAATATTTTAGTTACAAGAAAGTATGTACATTCACTACTTAAATATAAATAATTTTAATATTGATTCATATTCATTTTTCATATGTTTRTCAATTTCTTAAATTGTGGTTTTAATGGTTTTAGATTAGAAGGCAAAAAAGTTAAAAAAGCTAGAGATATTAATCGACCTGTGGTTAATGTGCAATGGTTAAATGAAATTCTATTTGGTCATTTATCGTGTATGTATCAACCAGAGAATGTTAAGTATCAACAATTCAATCTAAACAATCCATTCAGAGTTGACTATAACCTGGTACTTCACCTAATGGGTAAGATTGTAGTAATTATAAATAGGCTATAAAATTAGAATTTTAATGAACTTTTGTCAGTTATTGATATAATAATCATTTTTTTTTTCGAATTTTATATTGAAATTTTGAATAATAGGGGCGTGGAAAATGCCAATTAACGTTACCCAAGAATCATATGATAGAATACGTAATAATCATGTTCCTGTTAAAAGAAAACGGCCTCGACCAAATGCTAATTTTCCAGACCAAGAAAATAATGACTTAAGCACAGCTGATATAATTATCACAAATATCGACCCACCGCCAATAGAATATCGGCCATGTGTCATGCTTTCTGGATTTGGCTTAGGAAAAGAAGAACAACGTGTATGTTATACTATTATTTTAATACTAATGATTATTACAGTTARTTGTTTTTTCTTGCAGATGGTCTTACAACTTGGTGGCACAATTGCTAAAAATTATTCAGATGCTACTCATTTAGTGATGAAAGAACCAGTTAGAACTACAAAATTTTTATGTTGTCTTTCAACTGTCAAACATATTGTGAATGCTGAATGGCTTAAGGATTCTTCTACTCAACACATGTTTTTAGGTATACTGATAAAATTATAATAAATTACTATGTWATACATGTTTAATTTTTAATACAATTTTAGGTGAAGCAATTTACACTATTGAAGAAGTTTCTGTAGATCAGAAAGTCATTTGTAAAGTACATAAAATACTATCTAATCCAAATCGACATGAATTATTCAAAGGAAAGATATTTTATGTGACTCCGGGAGTTACTCATCCATCAGTGTACATTGTTCGGCAAATAATAGAATCAGCAGGTGGTACTGTGGAAAAACAAAGAAGATCATTGAGAGCTATACAAGAACTTGAACCTAATACATACATCGTAATTGCATCTAATAATGATCTTCATCTGGTTTCTGATCTTATTCGATCATCTTATGGTGAGCCAATACTTAATATTTATTCAAATATTTTATAAGCCAATAGACCATTTTCATGTTTATATTATTGTTGTCCAACTATTGATATGTTTAAAAATGGTTCTTATTTAATTTTAAGTTGGTTGACACTTGTTTCATGCCAAATTTTTAAGTTTAAACATAATATCCTTTGACATCAAGATCCTATGAAACAAAATAATAAAAACGTTACTCCTTAATCTTATAATTATATAACTCCATTAGGCTATATAAGAAGGAAATAGTCTACTAACTTTTATTTTAAACAACCATTTACTTTATATGACCGCCTTTTAACAATTTTTGGTCCAACATTAACTTAAATGAAGAATTATTTAACAGGGTATAACTATCTCAGATTTGTTCTTATAATTTTCATAGTCRGTTGAGTTTTTATTGTGTACATGTTGATATGWTAAGATACAACAGATTTTATTTGAATTGATATACATATTCTTTTGATACTCGTGTATATGCTACTTACCATAAAACAGTATGCCTGCAGGATGCTACTTACCATAAAATATGACATACCTACTCTTATATATTATGTTATAATTTTATTTAATTTTACTAAAAAGTACACGTGACTTGAGTTATTAGGATAAACAACATATTATTATACCGGTCATATAACACTTTAATAGCTGAATAGCTATTATACTGATAAATATTCACAAAGATCCACAATAACATACTTTTAGATATTAAATTATTGTGATATGTGTTGTATCTTTCCACCTTGCTGTGTTAAACAACAGATTTGTTAGATCGCCGACTAAACAGCAATGGTAGTGATCCATTAAAATAACATAACAATTTATATGAAGTTTTCTGGGATGACGTAAACACAGCATAACAATATAAAATGTATTGAAATAGTTGACAATGATCATCATGTAGTACACTTAAATACATCTACAATGGCTATAATCTCTAATTTATTTGGAGTCTTTTTGTCTTAATTATTTTATTAATTATTTAATTCCTACACACATACGATAAACTCTATCACATTATCAATATGTACTATATTAGTATGTAGATTAGATTTTATTTAGTTATACTGTAGACCTGATCAAATTTAGTGGTAGGTTAACATGTAACAATTTGTAATTTTATATTTTCATTTTAGGTATCTATTCTTCTGAGTTTGTACTATCCGCAGTTATGACACAATATGTCAATTATGACATGGCTTATAAAAAAGCGAAAAAAATAACGAATTAGTTACAAGAATTCACAACATTGTATGTATATAAAYCTACCTTTAAAAATTTAAATCTTCAGTTGTTTGCTATGTTTCTTATGTTCAATTTCGAATGATTTAAATAAAAGTTGTTTCATGTATAAAGTTCTCTTTAGAATTATATTTTATTAGTAATAATAATTGTATTTTGTATATTCCAAACTCTTAAAATATTAATTCATTTATAAACTCATTGTTTTCTAATTAATAATCTTTTATAATTGTTTATGTAAAAATAAAATGTTCTTAGATAAAATTGTATTATTTCAATATAGTATCTCTTTCCCACGTTTAGTTTTAATTATGATTGTTGTCACACCAATTTTTGTAAATCTAATTTGATAAATTTTAATTTAAAAAGYTATATATTTTTTATCAATAATATTATTTTTTAAATGTTAATAAAATATAATATGGTTAATTATGTAATTGATGTTAGTTTATTCTTATTTGTCAATCAGCAGCAGTTCCAGCACACATTGTGGAATCATCCAAAATGTATAGTACAAACATTATTAAGTGATGCTGTGTTATATATAAATATGCACAGACTTTGTTGGTAGCTGTCAAATAACATATTAAATAAAATATTTATATAACTAATATTATATTAGTCTTCCAAAAAAATAATAGTTTGGCGTCTCCGTCAATTATTTTATATGGTAGTTACTATAAAACTTGTTAATCTCTGGTACAATGTATCAATGACAGATTAATTCAAAACATGTAAATACTTAAGGATTTTGATGTTATTATTAGTGATAGGCCCTAATTTTTTAAATCAAACTAAACTTTAAATTGTTTTTCAAACCTGGATCGAACCTTTATATCTTCTATCAAAMCGAACCAAACCAAACCTAGGATCAGTTTAAGTTGAACTCAACATATTTACTATTCATTTTCAAAATTTATATAAAATATTATCATTAATTAATAATTATGTGTATAGTAATTATTTCTAAATAATCATTATCCGTTTTTATATTTTAAAAATAATTTTTGAACTGTACAAATGTTCATTCTTTAAATTATCTTGGATCGGACGTCTAATTCAACAAATATTTTCAAGTTMAATTTTCATTGGTAAAAGAAGCTTGATAGTTCGGTTCAAATTTTTTTCATACAGAATTCGAATTTTCAAACCAAGCCGAACATCAASGGTTTACGTTTACCCCATCACTAGTTATTATAATTTGAAAAGTATACGTATCATTAACTAGTATTGAAGCATAGTGTAAATATTAAACATTAATTAAAAATTTTAATTTTAACCATGTAATGTAGATTTAGTATTTATAGAATAATTTAAATTAAAAGTACATTTACAAATGTTGTGATATTATATTATGTAAGACAGATAATATATATATACATTATTTCTATATTATGGTATGTAATCTAACAGGCACCTATATGACCTATGGGCGAGACTACGATACCATGAGGTACTATATATTATTGTGATTATTATATGTCTAAATATCAGCACCATATAAAAGTATATGAAGACAAAATATGTACGTCAAAATAAGAATTATTTTAAAAAACCAATCTAATTTTTTATCGTATTAAAATACTGAAATATTTCAAACATTTTAATATTTCATGAAATGTTCGTATGCTAACGGTTATTACTAACTTATTAGTTACTGGTTACCAAGGTGACATAACTATTCATACACCGTGTGTATGGTGCATAAGGGAAGGAGTTACAAACGGAGGAAGATGTCGCATGAGCAGCATATATACCTATCGATATAACACTATATATTATATAGTGTTATATCGATAAGGCCGGATTTTAGTTTCTAGCGACCATTTTTTATAAATAATAAAAATAAAACGTTCCTAGTGGTAATATAATTATCTATATCTATACGCACGCCTTATACATATCTACCAATTATACCTACACGATTTAACAAAGGATATCATGAGCGGCGTTGCACACGACAAAATGAGAGAAGAAGACAATAACGAATGCCGTACAATGAGGTATTATGACAGTCGTTCGGTGGTAATAATATGATAAATCGTACTTATACAAGGTTTAACAGATAGAACTAACTTTTGTTTAAATTTATATTTTTTATTTATTT